GCTAGGCCTGGAACACACTGCACACAAGTAGCAAAAAGCAAACGCTTCCGGCAATGCAAGTGGGATTTTGTTGTTGCATTCAGAAATGTAAGTAATGCAAGTATGTTACGTTCTGTGGCAGAATGATGTATAGTTCTGATTGGCCAAAATTACTGTTAGTTAAAGTACTGACATACTCGCAATGTTCAACTAGAGAATGCAGAGAGTGCATTTGCAATGCATTTAGGTCTGCATCAACATATTTGCGTACAATATATTTTTGGTCTATGGACAGCTACAGCAAATACTGGAGTAAGGAGTTTCAACAAACTCATTCTCTATTTTATTCTATTCTATTCTATTACATTATAGAAATAAAAATTAAAAACAAATCTGTATATAGTTGTATAAAGGGTTAATCTCTCCTTTCTTGCAATGTACAGTTTTTGTGTTCAATCTTTTTTTTACAAAAAGGTTGTGAATTTAGAATAATAAATGAATAGTAATATAATGTTTTCTAGATAACATAGATAGACAGACGAATAGATAGATAGATAGATATTTTAAATTTTAAACCCTTACTTTTAAAAATTAAGGGTTTTAGTAAAGGAAGGGTTTTAAAAATGTACATAATGATGCCTATGTGACGGGACTTAACAATTATAAAATATAATACATGCAATAAATTAAATATAAATAAATATTTACATTACCAATTTTTTTAACAAAATAAAAATATAAAAAATGTTATATGGAAAACATTATACTATTATATTCTATATTATTAAATTTCAGGGGGAAAATTACTTTAAAATGTCCTAAAAACTATAAATCAATGTAAAGTATAAGCAGTAAGTGGCATTTTTTTTAAATGCAGAAATTCTAAATGTTTTACTATTAGAGGTTGAGTTAGTCTGAAGTAATTCTAAGTGACTTTATTTCAAACAGTTGTCATCTATGCATGTCCTCAGATAGTTAAATGTGTGTATGCATGTATTTCGGCGGCTGTCAGATTTCTCTCTGTGTGTAGCAGCTCTAAATTCCCACGGAAGCTCAAAAACCGGTATTGAAAGCAGGGTAGAAATAGATTATGCATGCAAAGAGATGCGTGGGAAAATGAATAGATGAGAAAACGCAAGACAGAAAGAGAGAGACAGCGGAGAAATCTCCTGTTTCAGGGCCGTCCAACTCTACCGTGCGTATATGCCGTGAAAAGCCTCAATTAAAAACCTCTGCTCTCTCACACGATAATACTCATCCATTATACATCAAAGCCTCAGCTTACAGTGTGCTCTTGTGCATCTACCGCCGAACATCCACACGGGTTCTGCTGGTACCTGCTGCTTTTAATAGCGTGAGAGGTTTGATTCTTGAAACAGGTTCCTCACGATCCCACTCTTTCCTCGCGCTCCCGTCCTCGCCACCGGAGGCCCAGCGCCTTCCTGCTTCGCTGCTACTGGAACTAACAAAGTCAATATTTGTCTTCTGGGGAACAGGAGAGCTCTTGTTGTGAAACGCTGGATGTGTAACTGCATTACTGCCAAGTTCTGTGCGGTTAAACAGGCTTGCATCGCAGCTGAGAGGCCTTCGAGGTGGCTTGTATGTTTTGGTGTCGCTCTCCCCTGCTGCGCTGCTATCGTTTGGGTTGTTGATGTAGAGAGACAGGCTAGATCTGTGCTGGGACCTCCACTGGTTTCCTCCTGGCTCTAGAGATATAGTTAACGGTTGGTTTAATGGTGAGGGATTGACTTTAGATTCATTATGGAGTCCTTCAGTGTAGCTGTGTCTGTATTTCGCTGGACTGAAACGCTCTCTCTGTTCGGTCATTTTCACAATGGTTGCCTTTCTTCTCAGTACCACGCTGTGATCCATCTCTTCACGATCAGAGCCAGAGGTCGTGCTTTTCATCCTCTGTTCAGTGACTTTGACCACTAAAGCTTTTCTTCGTCCATCGGCGAGGCTATTCGTCGCTGGACTCAGAGGCCTGGAGTTTGTGTGCGTGACCTTCCTGGAAGTGATAGTGATGGACGATATTGAGGAGCTGAAGGACTCCGGCGCGCTTCCATGCCTGCATGCGGGATTTCTCAACATGGGATGAGGTCCAGCGTGGCATGTGTCCATCTCGGCTTTCGGATTCCAGGCTTGCGGTCCATTTCGTCCTCCCTCGGAGCTCACAGAACCCGAAGCCTGGAAGCAAAGAAACGAAATCCCTTGAATTGGGCTTTGTGTGGATGAAAGAGCTTCTCTCTGCCTCCTGTGTGCACAGTAATGCTTTCGGAATCCGTCATTCTGAACTGGTGCATTCTGCCGTTTCCATAGCAACCGTATCAGTTTTGGGGGCAATTCGGTTAA